TTCTTCAAAACTCAACATTTCTAACGAACAACCTCAGTCATTTCGTCGATTATCATCTGCGCGTGCACCATTCGATAGTTCATCCATTGATGAAAGCTCTCATTCAACAATTTTTCAATCAAATCAAAACCCATCGAATTCATATTTTTCATCACAATACACAAGCTCTGGTGATTTTTTTAATAACAATCCATTTGTTAATAGGTTAAAGAATCCAACCATATCACAAAGTTACGGACATTCATATTTTGATTCAAACAGTTCATCTACAGACAGTCGAAACGCCAATTTTGAATCATTTTTCCCAGAAAGTTCGACAACTGCAGATTCGTTTTTAGATAATTTGAAATCTCAAGTAGTTATTTAATCATATTTATTAATTTATGCATAGTTATTTGTATCATACAACATCATCCAATATTTGAACTAAGTATTTAAATTATAAATATTTTAAAGCTTCACAATTTTATTTAAGTTTTAATAAATATTACATAATTAAATGTTTTTAACTTAATATAGGAAGAAATATCTTTAGAAATTAATTCCGGATATAAATCACAACATCGATTTCATTGGTCAGAAAATATAGAATATTGTTCTCCGTGGGTGAGACACAGATCGAAAGAAATCTTTAACTATGTCAATGGAATTTTTGAAATCAAGAAGAAATCTGAGATATTAGAAAACGATACAAAGACAATTCATAAAGATTTAAAATCTAAGGTCGTTTTCGAAGACTGTAGTGAAACCGACGACAATATCACGTACGAAATTGCAAGTAAATTATGTGATACGTTTTTAAAACACGACGAAACAAATAATATGTTGAAAAATCAATGTCTAAATAATAAACATTTCAAATGGAGAAATCTTTACCAAAAGCTTATAAATTATGGACAACTTTAAAAAATATATCTATTTATTTAATAATAACCTGTAGATAGTTAATAATTAATGAAGTATAGACAGAATAACATTAAGACGTTTGATCTCTGTTTTCTTTTGTGTACATTTAGAATTAACATTTTTAATAGAATTTATACAAACACAAGTTTCATTACTACTGTATGATTATACAGAGTTTAAAATTTTTTTGGTATATTTAAAGATAGATGTAAGTACATTGTATTTTATATTTTAATATAATATTATTGTGCAACAAAAATAATTACAAATAATTTTGTTGTGATAATTTTATTTATTTTATTTTTTTTTTTTTTTTGATTATACTTTAAACATTTTTCCAAATATTAAATAAAAAAAATAAATATTTTTACTTAAATCAATGAATAAATTAACATTTACTATCTACGTTAAGCGTGATTCTATAATATGTTATGACTGAAGAGGTAAATGTGTTATTTATATAATCTAACAAATAAAATATATAATGATAAATGTTAATACGCTGTAACATACAAACAATAAAATGATGGATATAAGTCAATATATATTATTACATGGACACCAATATATTTTATATTGTATACACTATACACCTCATAAATATATATATGTGTGTGTGTGTGTGTGGTACGTATGTGGTACGTATGTGTACGTATAAAATTATGTAAAATAATATTTTAGTTTATTCAAGTGCTTTAGTTCGCACTACGTGTCGTGCTATTTTAATAAACAATAAATACACAGAATTCGACCTAAACTTTCACCAAGTATATGACCCTTTGTCATTATAATTCAAATTATTTAAGTTTATACCATAAAATGTCGGTTTGTTCACCAAATACTTTGCATAATGTTATTGTTTACTTGTTTACGCAAAAGAAAAAAATAGTATTCAGTTTTATTGTTTGATATAACTTGGTTTTTGACAGCTCGATATATTTTAATATATATATATATATATAATTAATAGTTAATAGTAAATAATTTATTATTTTTACACTCTTTTACGTAATCAAACAATAATTATTACCACAATAAATGTCGAAATAACTTACTATTGAATATTATGATGATATTATGACCTTATTTTTAAGTTTAAGTTTATGACACATTTTTTAAAAATTATGAACCAAAATGTGACTACTAACTATGTGAACAACACAATGTTTACAATATTTAACTTTTATATTATTTTATTCCTTTATTATTTCACTATATAATTTGACATAGTTACAAAGATAATTTGATCAACTAATTAACTGTATCCGTTAATGAGCAGACAAGTTATGTTTTATTAAACTCCTTTGAAAAGTTTTTGTCACTAACATGTTCGAAGTACAAACGTTAGAACAATATTTGTGGACTTAATGGACTATAACCATTATGAAATATGACTTTAACATTAAAATAGCATAGTAATTTTGAATTATTTGGTTATAATTAATTTTAGTTTATTATTAACACTTCATAATCTTTGCTAAGATTTTAATAATTTTAATAACTTTCTGAGATCTAATTAATTATTTCTTATATGCTGGGAACATAAAGACTATCTAATGCATATTTATATTTAAATCATAAGACTCGTAAAATATTGTTATTTCTATTTTCAACCACTATATAATCAGCTTGTTTGAACACTTTAAATTATTTTATAATTCATCGATTTCAAATAAAGCTCTTGTGAGTCGTACAATTATTAGCAATGTATAATTTTTTATCCTTATTGATTTAGGAAGTCTATGATTTTTGTCTTTTAGAGAATAAATAACAAGACATTGGAAGTCTCGTATAGTCCAGTGGTGATATTCCTCTATATCGATTGTATGTACAAAACAATCACAGGTGATACTTTATATTGTAATTATAACTAAATAATAATGATAAATTATATTCGAAAATGTGTATAGTAATAGTCGTATCTTATCTTTAGGGAATACTATGGAAAACTGCGAAGAAAAGAAAAAGAAAAAGTGACGTTTTCGGCAAATTTCTCATCATCAGTTTCCAGTGTCTCGCGGAATAGGAGCTCATTTCACTGTAAATATGGGTTAGTTACACGCACGCATAACATTGGCCGACCGCACAAACATGATTAATGGATACAATCTCGAACAGGAGATGGCCATTGAACCATTCTACGGTCAAATAACGTCAGGCCAAACAAAACGTACACACACACCGATTTAAGGTACAACCCTCACCCCCTCCGAGCCAGCCGTTCGCCACCACGTACTACACAGTGTACAATATTATATAGGCATGCGCAGACATTAATATCAGCTAGGTCATGGCCCAAACCCATACACCACGGCATTGTCTATAAGCATATTGTAGACCATATACTGTTATGGATAAATAATTCTCATCGCTGTTCACTCGATGAGTAAATGGGAGCAGTGGAATGACGATGTATAAATAAATACATAACTTTTACAAGCATGAGGGATGCGAAGCGTTTATTCTAAGATATTTTTCATGCCTTGAAAAAAAGGTGATTAGTATATGAAAAAAAAAATATAAGTGAAACTCAGGCTCCCTCCCCCAAAAAAAATTAATAAATAAAGATTAAATATACAGTTGTATAAATTACCTATGTACCGTAATAAAATGTACTTACGCTTGAAATCGTATACCTACTAAATTAATTATACATATACTATAAAACTCAATTTTATTTTTTTATCTATAATTTACCTTTATTACTTCCTCAACCGCAACGATAAGAATATAGAGTTTTACTATCATCGTATAGGCCCAATCATTGCCAAGTGATAAATAATCTAATGGTGAATAAATTTATTGTTTATATATTGTGTGTAATAAAATAGTATATTATCATTTATTTATGATATTATATAAATTATAGAATATATATGTATAATACAAGTAAATAATTTTGCATTATAAAATTCATAATTTTTTGATATATATTATTATATTTTTAATATTTTTCTAAAAACACTATTTCATCAAATTTCGTTCAAAAAAATAGCCATAGAGAATCTTACCCTCCACATCACCTTGCTTATATACTCATTACTCACCATAACGATAATATGTACATAATATACATAATATATAATAATTCAATATTATTATATTAACAAATTGAATGGTCTTTAGTGTTATCATTTTTATGTGAGGTACTAATGAATTTTATTAAAATAGAAAAAAATTATCATTCTATAACTACCTGAACTATTAAAAAAAAATTAAATTCCATAAAATTATTAGTTTTTACATATCTACACAAAAACTACTTAAATTCTCAAGTATAAGCAATAAACGAAAATATTAGGTATCTAGATGACACGGTGTGCGTCGTCCTTTACACAGAGGTTCAAAAATAAAAATAGTTGGCAGACATTCTAATTTTCAAAACACTTTTATAAAATTATCTATTTAACATTATTTTCACAATAAACTCGATTATTTATTAAACATTATAATTATTTGTATTCTCGTACTTATTTAGAAAACAGGAAAAATAAATATAAAAATAAATACTCAATGTAATATACTTATACTTCATTAAACATATTATTAAACATTTTAATTTACAAATTATTATATTATATATATATTTTTTTTTTCATTACCTACAATAACTTACTATTGTAGCGTTAGTAAAAATAATTTCAAGGATTTGTCCGCGTGTAATTCGAGGAATATAATATAAGCCATTATGAGCAAGAATTAAGTACATTTTTTGACTTACATACTCGTACGCAATTACAAACACTAGAAAAATAGAGCAAAAATACGCAGTTAACGACTATGTATTATTATTCAGTATATTGTGACCCAATCAATAATGCTATTTTCAATATTTTTAAAAATCAATTTTTACCTTTAAATTTAAAACTTTTAACAAAATTTAAAACAAAATTTAAATAATTTAAAATACATACCTATTAAATACATTGAATTAAAAAAACAATATTTTTTTTCTAAGTATAAACTAAAAATTTAAGTGTTAACTACAAATCAATTTAGCACATAACCACACAGCAATAACATAACAAATTATACTATACAATTTTAAGCTAAGTGCAATACAATTAATGTGTTATATATAAGTACAGAAAATTAATAATAAATGTATAAAATGTGTATAGTCAAAACTGATAATCTATTACATTGTGTAAATAAGAATGTGCGCACATGTCTCCAATTTTCAAACAATATCTGTAATAATATTTTAACGAAAACAGTAAGTTAACAATTTATTTTAATAAATCACAGCACTATTTACCTGACAGATAATTATTACTGTTGTTGTTTAATTGAACTAAATCAAATCGATTCGATTATTTTTACTCTTTCCCCAATATGAGTGTCGGAGCAACTTTCTTCAATTTTTTTTTTGAATTGCAAAAGTTCACTAGTGGTCTGAGTGTTAAAAAATAAAAAATCTCAACCAAACTCAAAAAGCTAAAACCCAAGCACAATCCCATTATTCCACCTAATTTACCTAAATATCAAAACTAAATAGTATTAATAAAGAAATAATTAATATACTGTATTTCAAAATGTTCTTACCCATAAATTGACCGAAAGTAGAAATCATTATTCGATTAAATCCAATGAAATTAATACTTTGATAATAAACACTTAATATCAACGAACTAGATGTCCTAAAACAACACAATTATTTGAAACAATTATATTAGGTACATAATATATTATAATCATTAACAAAACATAGAAAAATCAAAAAAATTATTCACGTTCCAGCTAAAAATATGACACAGTCGTTAATAAAAATAAATAATTTTAGTTATTTTCAATTAGATTTTATAGATTCATACAGTCGACATAAATATAAATTCTTTTTTAAATTCATCATTCTACTAGAGAATAGTAAACATTTAAGATCTGCTAGTTAGGTAATACGAACAATATCTTTCTAATTTGAATAATTTTGTTTCTTATTATAAACACAATCGCAATTATCATTCCTATAATTTTCCATTTTTAATTCTGAGTAAATTTATTATATAAACACAATAAACTAGAGACATATTCAACAAATGTTTAAAAGCCAACGTAAATCCAATATCGTTAAGATTAGTATTCGTCTTCATAAGTTTACTTCGCCAAAAATATGTTAATAATTACATAATTAAGAATACAAATCAAAAGTAATCATTGTAATTGTATTCATAAGTATTTTATTTAATTTTTTTTTTTTTAATATTCACGTAAAAATATTTTTAAGGTGAAAAAATAATCTATAAACACCCACGAAGTCTCAAGAAATCAATTGACAAAACTTCTATTGAAAATTCGGTTTTTGAATATACAGAGGACAAACAAAAAAACATTCATTTATATATAATATACTTTGTATTGGAACATCAAAAATGTGTTTGTGATTACACTTTGTGTTTGTCGACTTTTTACAATTTTCATCATTTTTTCAATTAAGTATAGGTATACCAACAACTAAAGTACCGTCTCGGATGGTATCTTCACTCAAGGCACATGCCTGTCAATTTATAATTCAGATAATCTATCCTTTTAGCTTATAGTACAAAAATAAAAAGGAAATTCTAAAATAAAAATTTAAAAAAAAATGTATGTACTATATAATTCACTTATCTTGAAGTTATAATGATAAAATGATTATAATAATTATGTAACATATTAGTACTACTGATAAATATTTATACTTTCTAACTTTTAATCATTAATTTCTCGTAATTTTTCAAAAAATTAGCATATGAATAAATAGCTATGAATAAATTTATTAATCAAAGCAAGAAAATTTTTGCTAGACTATATCACGGATATAAAATGTTTTGTATAAACCATCAAGAAATATATCAAACAATAAAAAACACAGGTGCTTTTATGACACAAAGAAATAAAAACTTAATTTTTTTTTTAATTTTACATTTTTGTTTTTCTTTTGTGTAGAATAATGATTTTATTTTTATCTTTATCATCACTTGCAAAATCATTCACATATATTTTAATGTAAGTATAAATATTTACATATATCCCACATCATGTTGTTCAGTCATGACTTCTTATACCTACCAGTTAAACCTGCTTTTTTAATTATTTATTGTCAAAAGTGTTAGATGGACACTCAAAATTCAAGATATTACACTCATTATTTTTTTTTATATTTAAGTACTCATATTTATTATTTTTACATATATTTACTATTTCTGCATTCTTAATTTTTAAACACTACAAAACTCTATTCCTGAATATTATAAACGTGTTTTATTCATTATTTTTATTAAATTATTTAAATTATTATTTTCACATTTATCACTCTGTTATGACATTGCATGTTACAACCTTAATTTTTACAACCACATTTTAGAACTATTCATATTATTTTACAAATACTTATTTTTCATTAGTTTTTATGATATAATTCTCAAAAATAACATTCTGCGATGTATACAATATATCTACCTGAAGTTGGTTATTAAATTTGATTACAACAGATAAAGTGTGCACGCGATAAACACTTACCTATATAGGCAAAATAAATCATACCACTATTCACTACTTTGACACTACTGCACAGAGTATTCAGTTTATAATTTATCAAGTAAAACTAAAACTATAAAATATAAAATAAGCAGACAAATAGCTAGAAAATAACGTTAATTAGTCATTATATAAATAAACATAATATATTTTATTCTCCAGCATATAATTTATAGGTGACGGCTGGCGATATTACGTATGTAAATTTGGCCCACATACTTTAGCGTAATGAATAAAAATCTTCACTAATATTTTGCGAATTAAATACAAAAATCTAGGGTTACACTTTAAAAATTTGAGAAATAGTTGTTTATGAATTACAGGCAAAATAACAATGAATGAATCAACTTCATCACCAAGACTAACCTTGTCGCTCTAAAATGTCTAAATATATCTCATAAAATATGTCGAAATTCATAATTTGCGAGTCACTATTTTTTTCACTAAATCCATTTTCATAATTTATCATAGAAATTTCAATTTAATATTCACCAAATTTTTTCACCATTAGTTTGGGGGTATAATACTTTATTTTGGCATAATAAACTTTGATTCTTTTTTAACTTCTGATTTTCAAAATATTTTTTCAGAATTTTACATTTTAACACTTGACAGATACAGCAAATATACTAATACAACAAAATTTCAAAAAATTATATACACACATCTTTAACATATAATAATCGTATGTGATTTCTTATATATCTTATTATAAAATTTTATAATATTTTTGATACAGCCAAGTATTATTAGTTACTTTCATGCAATATCATAACATTTTAATGTAAAATGTATGAAATTTTATTTCAATAAATCAAAGACTTGTGTGCCAAAAATATTATAATATCTTCAAAAGCCTCTATTTTTAACCCTGGGCTAGTCAGAGCTCAGAAGTCAAAGTAAAATTTCCTATTTCTTAATAAGATAATAAGAAAAAAATGAATAGTGTAAAAACCTGTAATATTACTATATTTACACAAAATCAAGTTTTTTGTTGTTATTCAAATAAAATTAATTGAAACATTTTTACCAAATATTTATAAAAGCATTTTTTCCAATATTAAAATATTTTGGCTTTTTTTAATTAATTTATTGACGCTTGTAATGTTACTGTGAATAAAAAAACAAGTATAAAATAATCACAATTTTTTATAATTATTTAATTTTCAAATTTCTCTTAAGTTTTCCGTATAAAAATTTAGAAAAAAAAACAAGTTTTGCATAAGCCCATACTAAATTTATTATAACCTTAATGTAGTAACTGCAGTATTATATATATTATATTAGATTTATTATATAAACTTAATAATAAATAATACATTAAGTATTATTAAAATGTATTTATAAATTATAATAAATAAACTTTTTATATTATATATATATATATATATATATATATATTCATATGTAAAAATTTATATTTGTAAATTGTTGGTTATAGTAAATTTGTTAGGGTCTGGAGATATTTAAACTCATTCCCCTAACATTTGCTTGGATCCCTACCTATGTTATAAAATCTTAGATCAATTATTATTCTAATCTAGAAATTTCACATTATCCAAAATATTTGAGAATCGTGAACAACAATCCCTGACTTTTCTAGTTTGCAGTAAATTTCAATACCAAAATAATTTTTTTAATTTCCACATTTGCATAAAATGATCTCATAAAATCGTATACTGTTACTTTTATATACAACTATAAGTATTTACATTGATATTTAAAATTTTTGATTTTTATACATGCATAATATTTTCAATAAATTCTTACAAATTATTTTTATCATCTTTTCGAGCAGGTTTCGTGAGATGCGCGTTCATTGACGACGTTTTGAAAAAAAATTCAGTACACCCCGGTAAACAATCACATGATTCTGATGAAGCATCTTTACAAAAAAAAAAAAAATACACAGTTCGTTTAAATATAATATTTTAATTAATAAACAATAGATAGATGTTATACTCATTTTTTAAAGGATTTTATTGGATAAATTTACAAACAAATTGATAAAAATAAAAATTTAACAATTAAAAAAAAATCTAAACACATATAATACAGAATAATATGTATAATAATATAGTAATTTACTACATTAAATTGAATAAAACTTAATTTTCAGTATATCATTTTATTTGATCGTTAAATTATGTCAATGTTTTATTATGATTAGAAAATAAATTTAAAAACTAATAAATTGCTTAAAAGCTTAGAAAAATAACTTACATGAGGCATTCAGCCAACATGACATTTTAGCAGGTCCACAAACTGGCGTATTTTTCATTCCTTTAAATTTCAGAAAACAAAATTATCGATGAAAAGTGTTTTAGCATATATGTTGTAAATTCAGTCCATACTTAAATAGTAAAATGGCACACAACCACACTGCGACAATACACTAGAGCTGCGACACTCTAAGATGCAATTATTTTTAGTGTAAACTTTGAAAAATTTTAATTTACTCTCATTTTGAAAGTAACAATGCCTTATTTTGGAATCCCACGGTATTAGCTCTTTATTGGTAGTAAGCACAACCGGTTTAATTGAAATAGTCGAGATCGTATTGGTGGTGACTAGTAATGTCGGATGTGACCTGGCAGGCCATTCGGCTGGACTATGAACCAATATCTATAAAATAGTAAAACGTGATATTGTACTCTATACTAATTGTATTATTATTGAATCAATAAATATCAAAACTAATATTGTAAAGTTATTGTTTTACGTAGAATACGTCCAACCCATGTGCACATTCTTTGTTCATATCGTCAGAATGAAGTTCTAATTTCATAGTTGCACTGTGATAGTCACCGTCGCCAAACGTCCTCAGTGGCAAATGACTAGTTAGTGCATCGCTTCTATATCCGGTATCCGGCTTCCAGCTACTATGATACTTTTTCCAGCTATAGTTATTGAAATCCTGCGACCATTCGCTGAATAAAATATAATAACAAGATATTGATTCATTGACAAAAATTGGAACGAATCACTTTATTTTTAGTAAATATTTTATATATTACTCAACACCGTTCAATAAATCTATCATTGGCATCATATTAAACGAGTAGCATAAACCATACGGCGTGAAAGTTTCTTGAAACAAAACGTTGCACGGATCGATTTCTATTTTCCATAACCAAAAAAATGACTTGACTACTTCTTTACACGGAAATGACAAATTCTGTTAATACATTTAAAGCCAAAATTAAATTAAAGCTTAGTTAACATTTATCGTTATAAAGTCTGGGTAGTGACTAGTGGGTTTATTATTTTTATGTCCCTTATTCAATAACCATTATATTAATGAATATGTTTTTTTTATTACCTGGACAAGTTTAAAATTTAATCACATTCATTAATATTAAAACAGCAAGACTCACATAATTTTAAACAAAGAAAATTAAATCCTTTTTCATGGTGATATAGATATGATATATTTCATATTTTTTATAAAAATTGATTGAAATTATAATATTTTAATAACGGCTGATAATTTTTAAACACATTTACTTTATAGCTAAGTGAATTACTTTTAGTTGAGTAAACCTTTTATATAAAATCATTGCACGAAAATTGAGAAAGTATATAAAATATAGAGACAGCTAAGATCATTGAATCATGTCATAAACTCATAACTCATTTTAATATTATGTATAATGTTTTTGTTTTATAAATGATTTGATTATACACATGCTCAAACCGTGCTCTCTTAAATAAATATACTAATACAATAATGTGTAAATTTGTATGAAAATAAAAATGCTCGACATGAGTTAAATAATAGGTAATAATAATAGTACTTTCCTTTAGTGCTTGCGAAACAGAGGAACCGACTAAATAATCTTCCGATATCCATTTTTTCTCTGTTCGATTATTTTTGCAAACACCGTAAATTATATTTTGAATTAATCTGCCGAATAAAACATATAAACTTAACGAATGGTTATTGAATAAATTTTATTAGCGTATGTATAAAAATCCCATACTGATCTTCATAGTTGGTAATGTTAATATCCGAATAGTTATAAACAGAAGGACGGACTTGGTTCGCACTGCATATCGTTATTGCCGGAAACGGAATCGTCCAAATCGAAGAAACCGAATTATCCAACGATATTATTGCTGGCATCTCCAAAAACATACGTATTAAAAAATAAATCGAGACACCACATAATATGTATATGGCCATTAATAAAATAGCCCAACAAAATCTGAAACAATAGTCAATATTATATTTTTTAGGTACCTATTATATAGACTAATAAATAATAATGATAATATAATTCCGTCCAGTCTACTGAAAACAACATAAAAATATTATTTTATTTCAAACAATGTACCTAATAATAGTTATCATAATAAATTAAATAAATAGATGATAACTATCATTTTCGATAGTACTAAAACTTTAAAATCGAAGTAAGACCAACTCATTGTGTGAAGAATAAAAAAACACTCTTAATCTATTAAATTCGGCTAAGATGTTATACAATTAAAATAGACTAAATGATAAAAAATATGACAATTTCAAGAAAATTTTCTCGTAACAGTCCCTTCAATATTAATAAACATTACGAAAAAACAGACTAACAGACTATTCGTGCTGCAAATAATAAATGAAGCGATGAGGTAAAAGTAAATTTTTAGTAATCTGCTTACGTTGCAGTTGACTATTTTGTCCAATTAAACACAATTAGTATTGCACTTCTGTCTTTCATCATTCGGATCACTTAAAATGTATTATGTCTTCTTTTATAGTTTTTTTTTTTTTTAACAAGATATTTATTAGTGACTTGAATTTCAACCGTTTAATAAAATATTTTTTTTTTTAATGTATATTTATTTATTATTTTTCTTAGATATACACACACCATTTGGCTTTCTTCAAATATTATCTTCGCCATTTTTCTCCCACAAACATTGGTAGACAATTTACATTGTACATTTGTATGCTAATATAAAATTTTATTTTTTTATATATTCAACTAATGATTAAATTAGATACTCTTTTTCAAAAACGCTTTAATTGTTTTATACATTATATGCATAATTACCAACACACTAAATCAAACATTTTTCAATAACATGAAGAGAAGAAATCCCCGCTCGAAAACAGTAACTTTATATTTTATATTTGCACATTATTTTTCGAACCATATACGCTAAAAATTACGTGATTATATTATATTCAATATAAGTGTATAACATGTATATAGTGTCAATAGACATTACACGGTTCACAGGACAAATGACAACTCTCGAATGTTCAGCTATTACATTATGTGTGCACATACATAAATGTATACTATAATATTGTACATATAATATTTATATATATATATATAATATATAATGTGCACATGTAATAGTATTCTCAAACAATAAATTGGTCGGAAACATATAGTATATACGGTGTAATATCTCGAGAAAACCAACCAGATGATTGCATATACACTGCGCAGTGTATACTTTATATGACAATTGCACACGGGAATAAATAAATAATATATTCTATAAAACTCGCCCCTTAATTTGACCTATTTTCCAGATTTTTCATCTAGTATGTATATATTTAACATTTCGTTATTTTCACTGTACGAATTTAACTTAAATCTATTATCCATATTGATAGGAAATATTATATGAAAATTATACTCGTACTATATTCGTATACGAACACGCGACATGAAGCTCAAGTTCGATTTCCGCAGTAAAACGTTTTTAGTTTTTACACAACATATCATACGAAACAACCTATTATTTGAAATTTCGCACAGTAAATAATATACGAATTCTTGTTGTACAAAAAAACCTCGATAATAACTTACACTGAAGTCCATATTATTATAGTTTATAATATTTTAGTGATTTCAATTTACTATCGCGTTTACCGTATCAATAAATTGAAGATGGCGACAGGAACATAAATTAAAAAATATCAACCAGAATATTAAATATAATTAACAATCAACGGCTCAGTAATTCGATACAATTACACATTTGAAACAATACAAATTTACAATATATCATAAAGGTACCTATTTAAATTTCCAAGTTAAACATATTTTTATAATCAGGGCCAAAAAAATGTATTGAAGTTCTTAAAATAAACTTTATTTAATAAAAATTATAGTTTTATATAGACATTTTTGTGTCTATAAATCAAAATTAAAACGAATAATTTTTTAATTATTTAAATTTGTATACAAAAGATAAGTTAACGATAATAGGTTTGGAAAATTAAAGGACTATGACAATTTACAAATTATATCTAATAGATAATAAGTATAGTATTTAATATTTTAATACGAGTACTTAGTATTTATTTATATGATGGACAAAATCCAACATAGTACATTAAGTCAGTAAAATAATTAAATATTTGAAAGCATATAAAATAATTAACAAAACATAATATGTTTTCATAAATAATTTTCAATAATAAGCTTAATAAATGGGTGTATAAACTAAAAACAACACAAATATATTACTATAATAATAATAAATAATTGAGTACATTACACAGATACATCATTCCGTCAATAGGATTATCGTAATCATATAATTGTAAAACAAATATGAACGGATAAAATAAAAAAAAAATTGGAATCGTGTGAAATGAGAAGAAACTTTAACATTGAATTGGAAGAGCAAAGAAAAAGCATTAAAACATCCATTCATCAAAAATACCATAGTAGGTATACATAATAATATTATTTTAATTTTTCTTTAATGATAGGACAAAAAGAAGTAGTAGATTACTGTAAAAAACTAATTTTATTAATTAATATTTGGTTCTGCCGTCTTAAATTAAATACCTTTTTTTTAATGTTCACACAGGATGAATCCATCCATAAATAACACATTTTACGCTTCATCTCATTCTTCAATACTTTGTTACTTACGTTGTTTTTCAAATAGGTGATTCATTTAAAAAATACGCTTCTTTTTAAATGTGCCGGTCTTTCATCAGAATTTGTATAAATGCTTTATCACAAAAAAAAAATAGAAGAAATTATACACTATGTATATATTATTTTTATGAGCTCGAAAACACATCACTCCGTAGGCTGACAACTTTTCTGTAAACAGTGGCAGCTTTAGAGGTGATTGGGGGCCATACTTTCAAAATTCTAATAAAAAAGAAAACAAATTCCAACAGAATACCTACTTCACAATTGAATATAATAAAGTATACGTTTTTATTAATACGGTATAAAATAGGTATAATATTGTGTTATGTATAGTATACTCAATATCGTTGAATTTTAATTATCTTTCATCGTTAGGTATTTTATGTTTTCGTGTAGTAAGTACGTTCGTGGTTTTCCAAAAGGGACTATAAGGTTCTCTATGATTCTAATTTGGTTTATTTATCGTCAATATGTTTGATCACTGTCGTAGTCAGAATAATATTGTTTTAATACTTGTAGCTGTACATATTATTTTACCACGGTGATTTTATGTGAGCTGACAACCAACAGTGATTGCACCAAAATATTTAATTTACATTATAATAGGTAGGTAGTACGTATTATTTTAACAATCAATAAACTTAACTTTTTTTTTCAATATTTTCTTTTTGCTTATTACTACCGTAGCAATCCTCCGAATATATTTAAACTTTTTATTCTATTTCTATAAATATATACTATATTACAATATGAGATTATTATTTTTTTTTTTTAATATTATATTAAAAAAGTTTTTATGATTACAAACCAGATTTTAAAACTGATATATTCATAAACAGCCCAGTAGATTTCAAATTTCAATAATAATACATTTTTGTACAATAAATTAAAATAATTAAATATTAATAAAATATTTTAAAAAAAATTGTAACAAAATTACAACATTTTTTTCTAACTTCCAACGAACTTTTTTAAATTTTATAAAAGATAGATAGAAAAATGTAGCCTTTGATGGTAGTGGTAAATAGCAATTATCTAAGCAAAACTAATAATTATAAAATTGTCGGAAATTTAAGGTGATGTTTTGAGTAATAATGCAATTTGCCTAGAAGCCAAGTATAATGTATGGTTACTGACTAGCAAAGTTGAAACGTGTAATTATGAATGACGGCAAAGCTGATTTCTGAAACAGCTTTAGAGATGCTCGAAGTTTGTGATATTGATATGTTTCCCACGATTCATACTTTGATACATATTTTAGTAACTTTGCCAGTCAGTGCAGCAACGGCTGAAAGGTCCTTTTAAACATTACGACGGTTTAAAATCTGGTTACGTACACGAATAGTTGAAAACAGATTCAATGATCTTGCTCTTATACATATCTATCAGAACATTTTTATAGATAAAATAAAGAATAGATCGATTCGTAAAAAATAAGAATAGAAAATTAGATTTTGTATTAAACATTTTGAGAATTTAATAAAAAAATCAACTTAACTTGATAAATGCTCTAAAACTTATAATTTTTTATACGTAAATATATTTTTACAATTGTTACAACAGAGTAATTAATAAATAATAAGATTAATGGTTAATGTGGTTATCTATAGCATTAATTTTAAAGCATTTGAATTAACTTCAATATGACAGGTATATAATACTTATAACAAAATATCAAAAAAAAAAAACAATTATGTGATGTTTATGGCCCCTCAAAAAAAAAAAAAAAAAATCAAACCCTAGAGCCAGCCGCCACTGGCTATAAACGCGTATCAATCAAAACGGTTAGGTACCGGAAGGTTAAGTAAATTTTTATTTTAATTCATTATTTTATATTTTTTGATTTCATAACTGTAACGCTTAAACTTTTATGGGATAAAAAAAAATTAATTACCGATAAGAGTTCACAGAAAACTCCTAACTCGTTCGCTATCTTTATCAGTATGTTTGCAGACTTTTTAACGTTATTAATTATACATATTGTTATTGTATATATATTACTTGATTAAACTTCAATTTTTTCTGAATTTAATATTTTTTTTTTTATTTTTTGTACAATTTAAAAAGAATATATTATAATGATAAAACAATTTAACCCCCCCCCCCCCTCCCCGTTATTTATTTAGTGCACAGGTGCACACTTCGATTGTTATTAACGAGAATTAATAAAGTCTTTTATCAATATAATTCAGAACTTATAATAAATTGTAATAAAGTGTTTACTATAATTAATTGATTAGAATAAGAGTAGCTATATCGTATATAATAAAAATAAATTATGGAATTCAAATATGACATCGGTTGATTTATTTTTATATGTCTTGTATTATTTGATTGCTTATAGAAAATTTATTTTTTTCTACACAGAACAGCTGTGGCAACATCGAGTTTGTAGACTTTTAAAATGAAACGATTTATTATTTAATATTATGTGAAATCTAAAAGTCTGCCAAGGTAATAAATCATTAAAAAGCCAAATCCACGATAGCCATCCAAATCAAATTTATGCCACGATACAACATCTTCAAGAATCACGGTTATAGACAAAGTACGAGTGATAATGATATAATATGACGTAAGTATTTAGAGATTATTAGAATATTACAATTTACTTACTTTCCAATCTTGCTAAAATTGTTTTCCACAAAATGAAAGAAGCCATGCAAGCTAGTCATAGAGCAAAACGTCTTAAATTCAAATATGGGCGATTCAGGCTTGTTATATTTCTGGTGCACAAGACTATTTTTTCGGTACGTAGATAATTTATCATCTTTGACAGCTCCATACGGGAAAAATGATCTCTATAGACAAATAAACATATTAAATCTAATAATAATGTATGAAAAAGATAGGCAAACTAGTACCACTCTGTTGAACATTAGGTGTCGAGTGGGTGTGTTAAATTTGAATTCAATGATTTATCAATGTATACGAAAAACGATTCTGAGTGAAGACGTTTTTTTAATCTATATCAAAAATTATATTCCATGATGTTTTTTTGGAACCTATACATTATAGCTACTTGAGTCATTTATTTTACTTTTAATAGTAGGTATGATAGGTTGATATTATTTTTTCCGGAAATATTTTACTTATTATATTATAAGTGTTTAATTAATATAATAATATATATTTTTACTATATTAAATCAATTTATACAACTCAAAATTTAATAATATCTTTCTGTGAATGCCGTAAAACCGTAAAAATAAATTCATAAATAGATAATATCTTAAAATAAATCAAAAATATCGTTGCGTTTAATAAAATTCTCAATAATATGATATAAATACTTGATAAAAAAATTTAAGTTTCTGCGGTTATTTTTTTTTTTTTTTTTTTTGAATTATAACAAAATAAATAAATCAATTTCGTCAAAATCTTGTTTAGCATTAAAATTCCGGTTTTTGCTAAGATGTTTTTTTTATACTTAAAAAGTGTTCTGTGGAGTTAAACATTTTTTTTTTTCAAAGAGATTCTCTTTTTTACTATAAATTATTTTACGGATAATTTTTCTGAACATTTTAACGTATCCGAATAAAAATTCGATTGAGTAGTTTTTGAGTAATTAACTTTGTGTACTAGGATAATAATGATACCTAATGGGTTTGAGAGATTATGCGGGTTATGGTAATTTGAAAGTTTTAACGATAAATATTAATCTATCAATACTAATACGTTGTAAAAATGGCTCAAGTATAATAAATATGATATCCAATACTATTATCCTTACTATAAAAATGTCAATAATTTAAAAACAACTCTTTTAAATTTTCGATTAGGTACATCAAAATTTAAAAAAAAAAAAATTATCCATTCAGTAATTATTTTCAGTAAAAAGGAAAGAGTGTTATAATTTGGAAAAATAAATTATTTGTGTCACCACAGAATACTATTTAAATAATACAAAAAAATCTCAAGAATTTGAAGTATGGTCTTTTAATATGTTAAAAAATTCAAAAAATTAGAACTTGAGTAAATTTATTATTAAATGAAAAAATGAAAGTAGGTGTGCTTGGTGAATAATCCAAAATATTAATATATGTGAAAAAAATAATCCCTTTAACAAAATAGAAAAATATTTAATTCGATTATACAACATTCGTCCACGTATAATTGACTTTTATTTTTAATCTCTATCATTATTTTTATTTGTTCAACATAATTTAAACAAAAGAGCTTCGTAGAAAAATGATGTGTTTATTTAATAAATTGGATCAAATAATCTACATTCGTAATTTATCAGACATTTATTTTTTAATTAATCCCATGTGGAATAAAATAATACTATTGATTGTGATTTGTGATAACACTGATAACATAAACGTGCCTTAATTACATGAAACATAATACGTACCTAATAATCAAGACCTACTTTAAGGGTGAGTGACTAGGGCCGACGCCAATTAGTTTTAAACCGAGAATCGAAAATTAAATTTTTTTTTTAATTTACCCTTTCATTTAAAACATAACTTTTAGTTAATAATTACTAATAATTTATTATCTCTATGATCTTAGTATAGTGTTTTTATAAAGTTAGAGTTCTTATAATTTTTATTTTATCTTACAAAAATTGTTTACATAAAAAAAAATTGTATTTATTTAGAAAAAGGGAGGGGCATAAATACATGGTTTCACCAGGGGTATCAATATTTATAGCGCCGATATTGATACAAATATGAATTATAATATTAGATGACAATTTTATATTATTATGCATTATTTATTATTACAAATCAATATTTAAAGTGGCATAATAACAAGATTATATTTTATGAATAAAAAAAAAGAACATTATGTTCCGAACATGCAACATGCACCACACATTAATAATAAGTTACAAACAACAAGACAGGGTGAGTTGGTTTTTTCCAAATTGTCTGGAATTGTTTTTGTGTATTAAATTTAGCTTACTCTAAGTACAATGGATATGACTCTACTTATTTAAATTAACTATGTTTAAGCAAATTAAAAATACATTTACTAAATTGCTATATAAGTGTACGTATAATCTCCTGCCTATATAGGAGCTGGTTCACTCACATATTTTAAAAACTTAATTACAATTCAAAAATTATGTCTTGCAACGACAATCTTTTTATTTTCTCAGTTAACTATTTAGAAAATTAACCATCGTTCTAAATATGCATAAAATCAACATTTAACTTCGTCCTAATCTTAAAAACAAGAAATGAATACAAACGGTCGTACAGCGATACTTTAAATAAATTATATAATACGTAAGTGTGCGTGTACATGCCAATTAGTAAAAATTTTAATGGCGATACAGGCTTAATATTTTGTTTTAATTGGTACCTAAAGGAGACAGACCTCTAACTACTGTCTACTTAAAAATTAAACGTAAACGGAAGTGTGGAAAATCAATTTTTGTAATTAAAACGCCAAAATTAAACTTTGTACAAGGAAAATCGCTGCCGAAGCTAAACGGATCAGGTGACCAGATACTTTTAGTCATAGCTCGTTAGTTGTTAGCTCGAGAACAAAAAATTTGCTGCAGATTAGTTAAAATGGTTAGATTCGTTTGGACTTTTAGGTTATACAATAGATCTATAGTTTCTGAAATTTGACACAACATTATTATCACTTAATCTCTATCCAACATTCATAAAATACAGTTTATAATGTTAATATATTTGACGATCTCCCAAATTAGGGGTCAGCAACCTATTTTCTTTCACAAGTCACATTTTTTTATTAGCTTTCATTGAGGGTGACTGCATTAAAAATTAAAATAAACGTTATTGAAAATAAAATATTTACATTTATAATATTTATTTTATTCATTTATTAATAAAAAAAATCATAATAATTATGAATATCAATTTCATCAATAATACATATTAATAGAAAAAATGTATAAATTATATCATATATAGAAAATTATAATACTAATACTTATTCTTAATAAAAATGCCAAGTATCTACTGTTATTTATTTATTTTTTTGAATTTTAACAAAAACAAAAAAAAAAAATCGTTTGGAAAGAAATAGTTATTTTATGGGTGAATATAGAAAGATTCCTGTATCGTAAAAATTTGAAGTTGAAATGTTCATAAAAATCGAATTTAGATTTCAAGCAGAATTTTTTTTTATATAAATATTGAAAAACTTATAAAAACCTTGTATTTAATTTTCAAATATTTGGTATAAATAAAAAATATTTAAATATTTCCAACTACAAAATAATTTGTATTTTTCATGATTTTTACAAATTTTGTCAAAATTATACATTTTAAATGCTTAACATAAAAATATTGTAATTATAAATTTTTACTATTTTTAGTGAGAATAAACTATTTATTAGGAACCTTTTATTAAATTTTCATGCATTTTTGCCTATTTATAATTGTTTTATTAACATTAAAACAAAAAAAATCAAAATACTTAAAAAATTATACTTTCAATTATCTGTGTTTATTCATTTTTAATTTATTACAAAATAAAGAAATTAATTTAGTGTAAAAGTTCTTATATTTTCTTAATTTTTTTTTTTTTTTTTTTTTTTTTCCCGATTATAAAAAAAAAATACTAGGAATTCTTAATTTGACCTCTTTATAGTACAAACTAGATCAAATTTTCTATCCAAAACCACCCTCAATATTGAAAATCGAAGCATTTTATCGACAATTTATCGTGTAGGTACACATAAAAAAAATACACACACACATTGTAAAATCAACACATTTATCACTCCACTCAGAATTTATAGAATTATGTCCACGAATCGAAAGCATAAAATGATACTTTATATCTATACCTAATTTAAGATATAAATTAAAATTTTAAATGCCAAAAAAGATCGCAAAATAAAGGTAAACAAACCGTGAACTTCCGCGGTATCTGCTCTTAGGTACCGATTCTATAGCTCTTTTCCGGCAATCGGGTCGTATAAAAAATCCGAAGCTTATATTTAGGTAAGTACGACTGTTACGAGCCCAGCCAAAACATATTTATTTTTAAACAAATTGTACAGTATGCTTAATGAATTAAATGTATATTTTTAACCAGTAAACAGTAGTAATATACTAATATCATGCCTACCTGTATGACTATATAGTTAACAAATATCATATGATAAATAAATAGTACATAACTAGGAATGTTACTTATTTATTTAGGAAAAATGTTATTCAAGGTTTTTTTTTTTTTATCTATCTTAGTGAATTACATTTGCAGCCTCTTGAGTGCCCTTCTAATATAACAAAATCCTGTGATCTAATTTCAGCTCTACCACAGAATATGCAAAAATAATCTATGGATAAACCATTTGGAACGCTATAACTTCATTTCACCGCTTAATATAAAATAATAATTTTTTTAACCATCCGACTCCACCTCTGGCCACTGGATCCTACAACCTTACTTGCTATAGAAGATGCATGACCTATATTTCCCATCTCCAATTTGGTCACACCTTGCTTTCCTATCATCCTTATTCCTTCGACTCCCCATAATTGTCAACAACACATCAACATATGCATATCGTCCTTCTTAAAAATTCCCTTCAATATTCAACATATTTTATCCTCTCAACGAAAAAACATTCTTTTATTTATTCAAACTATATATTTAATTTTTTGCTCATTTATATTTTCTTAATTAATGCCATAACCACCCCACTTCTGATCCTATAGTCAAAAGTACCTACTAATTGCACTATTTTTTTTTTTTATGATCAAAATAAAAATAAAAGTGAATCGAGTAACAAACCAAGTGAAGATTTTTGGTACCTAATTTATAATAAATACATATTACAACTAAAGAAATATAATACAATTAGTCATAGTTATATGACACTTATAACAAAGAAAAAAAGCCTCTAAATTGTCCGTTATCTTATGAAGAAAACATATTTTAGTCGTGGCAGTTTATCATTTAGTGTAACACGAGTGCAATACGATAACACCCTCCGTCCCAAACATTATAATTTACCTATAATAATAAATATAAAACAACCCATGTACCATAGAGTAAGTCAACATTCAAAAACAAAACATACCGTTTTAAAATATCGGGTGAGCAGGTTTTCCAGCTGCTCATTTTCGTTTTTTCTAGTGTCCATTTGGTTTCAACGGCAGCGTGTCTCTTACACCACATAAAATACGTAATTTTGTGAAATAATGAACAATACATTAGCTATTACCATTTGATGAGACTCCAATGAAGCGGATTAGCGTGTTTAATGTTTTAAATTGTAATATTCATGTGTATACGTCCGTGTGTTTGTATTGCACTCATTAAATATTTAAATACACAATTCCAATAGTATAATCCCCGAGGGTATATTGACGGTATATTTGTTTGCATTTAACTGCGAGAACGGCAACAGTAGTATAGGAAGGGTCGGTGAACAGAATTAACATATTTCGATTAGTAATACATTTTTATTATTATTATTTTACAATTATTAGCGGTACAATAATTTATTTTAACAAACTGTATTATAAGGCACGCGATGTGTTCACTATCGTGGAATAATTAATTTATGCATACCTAAGGCATAACATTAACAATAATTGACAAAAATACTGCCTTTGGCTATATATAATATTATATTATGCATATTCAACAGAAATATTAATTTTTAAAAATAAATATTTAAATCTAATACAAATTGTTAAAGTTTAACAAAACTAAAATTTATCATATGTTATAGTAAAAAAAACAAGTTAAGTATACAAAATGTAAGCTCATATTAATTCCTAATTACACCACCTGTATTCTATCCGAGTAGTGTATAAATAATTTTTCACTTTATTATTAGACAAAAAAAAAATGTTTTGAGTAGATTTATTAGAACTATTTCAGTCCACTCAACTTTAGAAATTTATTGTTACTTTCACACATAACATTATCATAAACTTTTAACTAAACGTTGTCTGATACAGTTAAGATAATTAGCGTGTTGGAACATATCTAAGTACACAAGATATAACAACTTAGCAAGACTATATACCTTGGGGCAATAATCCATTAAAGTTTTGATATTACTGTGTCTATAATAGACAACTATAACAAATATTGTTTAAAACACCAACTTATAAAGCTCAAAGGGTGTATATATTAAATTATATGAACATTATGTGTCAGACCATTATATTACAGCTGCATTATTAAATTAATTTAAATTATACCAGTATCGATAAAAAAATAAAAATACACTCACTTAACTCTGAAACAGTAATACAGTGTTGTACCTAGACATTATTTATTAAAACAATATAATATATATAATAAACTATTAATTAGTTATTACCTAAGGTTAATAAATAGTCAACATTAAAGTCTTTATTAGTCTGCATAATACAGTAAGCTCACGCTGGAATATTATAGTAATCCAAGAGTAATTAATAATTATACTGTAAAATTTTAACTTTGAAGTATCTAAATTTTTTTTAATAAAATATTAATATTTGATTTCAATTGCTTTTTGTTTATAAAAATAAAATTATAAACATTCTAATGAAATTACAAATACATATATATTATAAAAATTTAAATTTTTAACCACTTGATACAGTTATTGATCAGTTTTGAAATAAATTTATTGTGTAAAAATTAGTAACCTATCTGTTAAGATTTCTTCTTCAACTATAGCACTGAAAACGTTTGTTACATTTTGTTATTATCTTTTCATTTTATCCAAAATTGGAAGCACCATGTCAAAAGTTGGCCGTTTGCCCGGATCCTCATTCATACATATCTTAATCAGTTTAGTGAGATGAGGTGAAATATCAGATGGAATAGACACTCTTAAACCATCCAAAGCCACCTAAAAACATAATTGTTTTGTTCAAAGTATTTTAATACAGAAAAAATAATAATTTTACCTTCATCCCTATTTCCATTGGTGACAAATGAGAAAATGGAACTTCCCTAGTAGCTAATTCCCATAAAAGAACAGCAAAACTCCACATGTCACAAGCTTCAGAATTAGTGTCAATTCGTTTTTTTTGTAAAGCTAAAATTACAGAGTAATACAACTATAGAGTTTTAAAATATATTTTTACAAATATTTTATATTGTGAAAAAAAAGGTATATAATTTTAAAAAATAAATAAATTTAAATTTAAAATCTAAATATTTACCTTCGGGAGACATCCACCCAGGGTAATATACTCTTGCCTTTTCTTGGAATGAAAATTTAGCATCTGCCATATTTATCCTAGCTGTAAGGTCCTCATCAATCTATGAATACAGATAAGTGCATATAAAATTTAATAATACAAATAATAAATTAAAAATAAAATAACTAATAAGTATACCATGATATGATGACTATTCAAATGAAACTGTGGTATAATCCTCTCCAGACTATGTAAAAACGCCATGGCCCTAGAAACATCTACTGCGAGTCTAAGTGCTAAGGCTGTGTCCACTGTAACTCTAGCTCCTTCATGTAATAAAGTATAAAGAGATCCCCAAGGCATATACTGACTAATAACCACCAAGTTAGGAGGGGAGTTGCAACATCCTATCACCGGCAACACATTAGGGTGCGAGAATATTCTACAATTAAAAGATTGATTGAACAAAAATTACATAAAAACAAATAATCAATAAAATAATAATTACCTAAGTTTTGGGAATTCTTCATTGAAATCTCTGGAAATTCGAGGAGTACACTGTCGAACAGCTAATACTTTTGCGACAATGTCATTTTTTTGCCAATGACCACGCCATGTTTCTCCACTGGGCGATGTAGCCATTTTTGTGTGCAAGTAAAGATCACTCAAGTTTATTCCTTTATGTCGCGATAATGTAGCATCTCCTGAACCGTTTATAAAATAATTAGATATACATTTAATTATTTATATAAACTTACAATGGTAACATATAATTATTAAATACATAAAATAAATGAAACTTTAAAGAATTCAAAAGTAACAGATGGTCCACAAATATTTTTTATAATAAAGCTCATTTGTATATTTTTATTATACACTATAAAACCATTGGCAAAATTAATATAGGTAAACAAAGTGCAATACTAATTTTTTTTTAATTTTATAACAGTATAGAAACATATTATGCTAAAAATCATAATAGCAAATTAACTTACGGCTTCTTGTTTTCAAACCTAACCAGCTCTGATCTTTGAAATTGATTTTAGTAAGATCTTGACCAGATTGCAAAGCCAAATCTGTAATTAATTTGTTTTTATTGTTAGTAGTAAATACAGTAAGAAAAGAAAAAGGAAAAAATACTGTTACCATCAAGCATGCAGTACCTTTCAAATGTTTTAAAATTGGCCCTCTTCCCTTGTCTAACGGAGTGTCTCCATCTTTGTTGGCCAAAGCAGCCAATGCACCATTTTCAATAAGTTCTTCAGCAATTGCATCATAACCCCAGAAGCAAGCATAATGTAACGGAGTGTTACCGTGTTCATTTGTGAAATTAATGTCAGCGCGATTTTTCAACAACTAAAACATTAAGGAATACAATGATTGCTATTATACAATATTAATATAAAACATAGAACTTGCAAAAATGCAACAAAAATATTAGAAACACACCAGGTGAACGATTTCATGGTGACCGTGTGCTGCAGCCAAGTGAAGAGGCGTGTCGTCGCCTCGATTTGTTGAATTTATGCGGGCGCCTCTCTGTACAAGCATCTCAACGATCTTCAGATGGCCCTCTTTAGCGGCCCAATGCAATGGACTGAATCCGTGATCATCTCTGTAAATGTAAAGCAGCCAGTGAAAACATCAAGAGACCAAAACATTCCGCCCACCTTACATAGGTATGATTTAACTCACCCGTGATTCATGTCATGTTCAGTGTCATCGAGCCAAACCCGCACTTGCATGGCAACGCCTTCTCGGCACCACTGGAATATGTCTTCCATCGCGTTTGTCAAAGAAATCCACTAGACACGAGAACGGAAATCACACTATGAAATTGGCCTAGATAGGTACGAATCACCAGACAGATGCTGGAGATCCTACGCACCGTGACTGTAATACTGTATTACTATTTACTGCGACGACTACACGGACAAACACTCCAAATTTGGCAATACCAAAATAAACAGTATTATCTCGGCAGCTGTTTAAATTGAAAATATTGATAACGGCTCCATAAATTATGAAAATAATATTTGTAACTGTTAAGGTGCTGTGAATTTATTGCTGAATGCTGATAGCAATATTTTTTATTGCACTGCGGATAGACTTGATAAAGCAGCCAGCAGGCTTAAGAGTTGAAGACAGGTCGACTGTCCGTCCGTCACTACTCACTAGTAACTTAAAAAAATTGTTTACACTTATAAATAGTGCGATTGTCGGATTGTGTGAATACTGAAAACATTAGTCATAGTGCGATTACGACAAACAACCACGTGTGCCGTCGTCGCGCCGCTTATACGCGTTCAAAGTTTAAAAATATTAAATCACTTCTATATTGTAATATTAATAATCATGTCACGTATCACAACTTTTACTGATGATTTCCATCGTTTTGATTAACTCGTCTGAGCTACCGTCTTTAATTTAAAATGTTATAGCCACATTGCCCAGTTTGATGTCTTCTACTTAACACATCGACTTTATCCATTCATTTTTTGCTGATCAGGTGATTACAACTTACTGCCGGCACGCAGAAAATTTTATTATAATTATGTATTTTAACTTTATTATTGTTGTAACTTGGAAAAAACCAACGTTTTAAAGTATCTTAACATAATTTGTCGAAAATGTATCAAGAAATGTTTTTCTTTTAAAACATGCCTAATTTTGGTAACATACCTACTAAAAAGTATTAACAGTTCTTATTATTTATTTTACATTCACGGCCAAATGTTCATTAAATAAAATTATAAGAACTATTCTAACATTTCTGATAAGTATAAAATATTATTTTATCATAATTAATACTAATTTAATAGTTTTATTAAATCTAAACATGTTTCAAGAAAAAACAAAAAATTTAATTTGGTGGAACACTTATTGTCCAAAACAAACTCTTAAAAAAAAAAATGAATTATTGATATAATTAGGAGTTACAGATAGATCTTAGTTCTTCATGTTTTTACATATTATATGAAAACTAATTTCAGATAATAACTCAGAACAATTGATAAGGTTATTCAAAATAATATCATAAACAGTACTCATGAGTTAATTTATTTACATATAAATTTTGCTAAGACATATTTAATGATATATGACAGAAATCCATTTTGAAGTAATTTGGTTAAGTGTGTGAAGTTTTATTTTGCATATTTAACGTATTTTTAGCCAAAATTTGATAAAAAAAAAAAATGCAATTATTTATATTTTTACCTTAAATAAAATACGTGGGACTTGCCACAGCATTAAATTATTAAAAATAAAACTCAGTAGCCATTATTTTATTTGGTTAATTAGTGTATTGTGCCTGCATTAAGTAATTAGTGGAAAACATGTTTCATGATAGTCTTATCTTCTTGATACTTTTACTTTTACAATGCTTTATTCTCGACTATTTCAGTCTATTTGCATTTAAATGCATATTTCTGAACTTTTTAATACATATTTCAATGTATAATTTACCAGTTTCTAGTATATAAGTACGTGCTTCTTTAGGAACTTTTTAGGATATAAACTAACATAAGAGCTCAGATCATAAATTAACATAATATCTGCTAATTTTAAACACTTAGTGAGTCTTGGCTCAAGAAGTTTTCAACTATGATAATATTTCTAGAGATATGTATATTAGATACTTAAATAGTTCTTATTAAAAACTTATATTGAACATTATCAAGATTATTTATTTTGAGTAATTACAAGACCAAGTGAATAAACCAAATTCAAGACTAGATTTTACTAATAAAATCTATTGTGTTTCCAAACAAGTAAAATTTTTAAGCTCTTTTGTATTTTTATTAATAAAATTCTAGCATTTATATGTTTTTTTTATAATTATTCTATGATTTGATTTTAACAATAAATCGTTTTTAAAGTTATACTCAAGTATTTAATGAAATTTACTTTATCAAGAAAACAGTTATTAATTTGATACTGAAATATTGTTGAGTTTTTAGTTTTTACTATATGTTAAAGAAATACTTAGTATTTATTATTATTTAGAGGAAGAACATTTTATTCACTCCAGATAATCATCAGAATAATAAAACAAGATTTTTTTTTTTTTGATTTTAAATAATTAGTGAGGAAAAAGTAAAACTAATTTAGAAAGTTTACTCTGAATCTGAAACTTTTTAATAAATGATACATTAACCTATGATTTACTTTGTCAAATGTTATTTTGAAAATCAGTATAAATGGTATTTTTTTGATACCTCCTTATCTAGGGATTTTATTAGAAAGTTTTAAAATAATTATAAATATGTTTGTATAAAATATTTAGAAAGAAATCCATGCTGATGGATAGTATATTTTTAAAGAGTTAATTTGATAACTTATAATATTTTATTCTACTTATTTTTAATTTTATACCTACATATTACATAATTCAAATCAATGTCATTGAGATACTTAATTAACTACCGTTATTTATTACTACTAATTGGCTATTAACTATTACATACTTAAAATGAGCTATTTTTATTATGTTCATACATAATTTATAATTAAATAATTAATAATCTAATTTTAAAGCATAAAAAAATAAATGTTAATCCTTCTATATAATGATTATTTTAATATGAAAAATATTCTTAGTAACAGTTGTATTTAAGAAATTTGATTTGTTAGTTTGGTTTATGTATAAGTTAGTTTTTTATATGATACGTAGGTCTAGTAATTTTTATAATTTTTTAGGACTTAAAGGTTACCTTAAATAAATTGGAATATATCTGAGCTAGTATAGAGCATTCCTTGTAGTTGGTTAAAAATCTAACTTAGGTTCTGACTAAATAATAGTTATTTACAAATAATCTATATTTTGACTATAATTAAATTATAATATTAACTGTTTCAATTGGGTTTTTATGCAAAAATAATTAAAAACTAAACAATAATAATATTATAGCTATTATTTTATACTAACTTTATCTTAATTGTTAATGGTTATTCCATAAATCTATTGAACTCTACTATACAATCAACCTACATTTAAAAACAATTTACATGTTACACAATAATACTGTTATAAAGCATAATGTTATTACTTATTACTCTTGATAATGTTGTTTTTAAAGTAGAGACCTTGAAAATTTGATTTCTTTAATAATGTATTAATTATTATAATTTTTATTTTATTAGTGTACAAGAACAATTTTTTACTTTTGTCAACATGACCAAAATTAAAAGTGATTCTGAAGATATGAATGTTTCTAAGCCAACCATATCAGTCGCATTAACTATGGTTTCTATTCCATTGTCAATGATTTTATGGATTAGCAATATTTTATTCCGAAAATTTTATGGCGATAATGTAAATGAACTAAATGGTAAACTCATTAATTTATAAGTGTACAAATTTAACAATTTTAACCGAAGTTCTAGAAATAAGTGTTTTATTAAAATTAAAATTTAAAATATTAAGTATTTCATGTTTCTTTTTTCATTTTGAAGAAAATATTTAAATATTAATCAACTCAATTAGTTTTATTTTATTAATTAGATGTTTATACAATTTTTAGAAGGACTCCCACCTCTCCGATGGTTTATTTCTACTTTTATTCCACTATTTATTGCTGTATGGGGTTATACCAAACGTAGCTTAAACCTAAGCGGAGCACTATTAGGTTAGTATTCATGTCAAGTACTCTATGTAGTCTTAAACTCTAAACTCATAAATATTGAATCATTGCAATTTTAATTTTTAATATTCAGGTATAATTGTTGGTTTTGTATTGACATTGAGCAGCTATGGATTTCTGGCTTGTTTGCTTACATTTTTTGTTACATCGTCCAGAGCGACAAAATTTCGAAGCAAATCTAAAAAGCAATTGGAAGCTGACTTTAAAGAAGGTAGAGTATATCGATAATGTTTGTGATTAATACTTTAATAGAATAATTTTAGGCGGTCAAAGAAATTGGATACAGGTACTATGTAATGGAGGCATGGCTACTCAACTTGCACTCTTGTACATTTTAGATGTCGGATGTGGTGAACTACCTATTGATTTCAAACGCTATTATCGGCCTTCTTGGTTATCAATTGGTATTCTTGGTAAGGCTTAATATTTGTAACTTATATGGATAACTTATGCAAATGTAAGTTTAAATTTTATTTATTGTTTAGGTGCTTTTTCTAGTTGCAACGGTGATACTTGGGCCTCAGAATTAGCAACTGTCTTGGACACAGGCTCGCCTATATTGATAACAACTGGAAAACCAGTTCCCAAAGGTAATTCTTTAAACTTGGTATTTTTTCTATACAAAATATATTACTCTTATTTCCTAATACTGATTAGTGTTTAAGAAAAATTGAAGTAGTATTCATAGAATTTATGTTCTAGGTACAAACGGAGGTGTGTCAGTTATTGGATTGGTTGTCAGTCTTTTGGGTGGCATGGTTGTTGGATTAGCAAATTATGCAATGCTTATTTATACAATTGATGCAGACATGTTGGCAAGAAGTCCTGCTCAGTGGCCAATAATAGTAGTTGGAGGTTTTGCTGGACTAGTTGGTAGTATTGTAGATTCAGTATTAGGTGCCACTTTACAATACAGTGGTAATTATATTTTTATTTTTATTATGTGTTATGGCTATTGAATAAATATCATGTAGATTCAAAGAGCTATATTTAACAAATATAGTTAACTCGCATCACTATTATACAACTGCATTAGTACATTTATGAATATTTTCTTGCTTATTACGTTATCATATTTTACCTTTTAATTCTTAAGTTGAGGAAATTAATTTTTTTAAAGTTATTTTCTATTAATACATTCCATAATAATTTGTGATTATTATATATGATTGTAAATAAGTACCATGTGATGTTTTCAAAAACCAAGAATTTTTAGTTCAAGAAAAATTATAAAATATGAACGATTTTGTAGAGAAGACTAAATGCTCAAATTTTGTGCATTTTACCATTTAATTTTCTAGCAATTTTATTTTTAAATTTATTAATCTAATAAAATATGTTCACCATAAAAGTTATTTTAAATGCTTATTTATGTAATAGCTCAGAATAGTACATAGTTATTTAAAAATATTTTCTAGTTTCAAATAGTTATATATTTTAAGCTTTTAAGTTTAAATCGATCATTAATATATTAATTACATTATTTTATTCAGGTTTTAATCGAAAAATAGGAACAATAGTGGAACACCCTGGCAAAGACATTGTGCACATATCTGGGAGAAGAATATTGGATAATCATAGTGTCAACTTAATATCAAGTGTAATCATGGGAATTTTAACCCCAAAAATTGCATACTTAATTTGGCCATAAACATAAATATGATCACTTGAGACTTTTATTGAATGTGACTATTTATTCCATTTTAATAGCTAGGTTAAACAGTTTTTGGATTTGTATATTATTTTATTTTCATTAGAGTTTGAATTAGACTGAGTAAAATGTTTTGTTGTAAATATTGCAATTTTTGTATACATATACTTATATATATATGCATAAATATTTGTTTTAGTACTTTTTCTTTTTCGGTAAAATGTATATTTTGTTTAATTGTTATATTATTTTTATCATTTGTTTTATTTAAATTAATGCAAAATATCATGGTTAAGGTTAACACATACATATCAAACCCTTAAATAAGTTGTTACTTAATTATTACTAAATTTAAAAATATATTTGAATAATATTACTTATATTTGTTTTTTTTTTTTCATTTTTATGCATACTTGAAAATATCCATGAAAAAAAAGTATGAAATAGTCAAGAAATACATATTTATTAAGCAATACAAACTAAATATATTTACACAATTTGTTTTATATGTCACTGCAATAAATGGCAATTGGTAAATATATTTTTTTAATTTTAAATTATTATATAATCTAACCAAACACTATGTAAGTATTATTTAAAAAAATATATAAATCACATGCATTCCTAACATTATATTATAACATTGACATTTATCTTGACAATTTGTTAATAAAACCACTATCGATTTCTGTTTGTTTTATGGCAATATATATTTTTAGTTTCATAAACCAAACAGAATATTTTATAAAAAATATCAGATTTCTATGCTATTTTTAAAATGAAGACTAAGTTCTGATTGAAAAAATAAAGAGAGGTAAGGGATGCATATGAAATTTATGGAACATTAGTCTGCATGTCTAAATTATTAAATTAAGATTTCAATTAAGGATTACTATTTTAGAATCACATAATAAAAATAGTAGTTTATTAAAAAACGACAAAAGCAACATAAATAGAGGCAATACAAAATATTTGAATTACACGTATCTGATACTTCTTTAAAAAAAAAAATAAAATACTAAAAAATGTTATTTTTTCTAATTTTTTAAATAATAAATAATTTCTATCAAAAGCATGATTTGAATAGGTGGTATGGATTAAATTAATATACAATGCAATACATATTTTTTAGTACGAGTTTATTCTGAAATCATAAAAATGATTAAGTATATTAAACACATAAATTTATAGTATTGATTTAAAAAGCATTTACTTGTTTTTCAGACAGTTCAAAAAAATCTTAATCAATTATAAATACAATTCATATAATAATGAAATAAATGTATAAAGTTTTATTAAAAATTTTTAAAACTTAAACTATTTTTATTATTTTTACTACTTTTATAGAGCTTTAAACAATTGTATGTACTAATTTTTAAATAAAATTTAAACTGTGCAGTTTTGTACGAATATTAGGAATCTCATTTATTTATCATAATAAATTAATTAGTAAATCATAATATAAAAATGTAAAAAAAAATCTATTTTTATAGCTTTTTTAAAGAATTTTAAATACTTTTTCTACAGTTCTATAGTACTGTAAAATTTGTACTCAAATGATATTGTGATTTTATAATACTTAATACATATTATATATATATATATATATATATATATATGTATATTACATTTGTATTAAGTTTTTTTTTTCAACCATAAATTCAAAAGAATATACATATATTTAGTCTTGAAAATGTAAAGTAAATAGTAAAATAATTAAAACTAAATGACAAATAAATCATAACATTAAAATATTTAAACAAACGGACATCAGACTTATTAAGTAACTAAGTTTAAAATATATCAATGTAGGATAACAAAATATTTAATTAAATGTATATACACATAACTCACTACAATTTTGTTCATGGAAAAATCTTTAATTTAAATTTAAAATTAATAAATGCATATACAAACAAAAACAAAATATTTTATTTTTGTCTTGTTTTTTTTTTTTTTAAACAGAGAAAACACTAAGCGCATTTTCTGACAAACCAGCCACTGTTCGTCTACCATTTATAATTATACCAGTTAAAGGACATAGATCCATAAAGTTTTCAGTAACATGGAAATTATGTACATTATTGCCTGCATTGACATTGAATACTTTGATAGTGCTTGATTGTTCATCAAAACAACAAGCTAGTATGTCGTCTTCATTATATCTTCCACTTGGTGGTACCAAACATGAGCGGAATAATTGTGAAGACTTATCTCCACCTGAAAGTATAGCAAGCATATCAAAATATGAATGAGACGAATACATTACAAATAGTTACTACAAATGAAATACAATAATACTTTATAAAATGTTGTCAAAACTAACCATAAAATGTGACCACTGGATTTAATACAGGTCCTTCTGTGTTAAAATCAGTTAATTTAGATACAATATATCTGATAGATTTATTGGGACCACATGGTTTAGAAGATGACAGAATTAGATTAGATTGACAGTCATAAGCAGTATTAGACCAAAGTCCTTTCAAAGGCAATTCAGCCTCTTTGTAAACATAAGGCTCTCGTCCAGGTTCTGGTTCAAACACAGAGAAATAGTCCATTCTAGTCTTCAAAAATCCACCATGAATGAATGATCGAGATGCTGACGGTGGGAGTGGGTTAAGAGAAACACAACCAGGTTTTCGAACCTGTTTAGAGTCAAACAATGTCATATACCTGCGGTCAATATAAAATATAGACCCCATTTGACCACCCGCAACTAACACATTAGTATTGTCACCAGCCCAACAACAAGACCATAGAGGTTCTGGAACTATAAATTTCAATATAATAAATAGAAAATTATTTTAAGACAATATTACAAAAATAAATATAATTACCATTTATAGAAGAAACCACCATGTTAACATTTAAATCTGATAGATTAATGCATTTATCCAAACCAACAGAAGCTAAAAGATTTTGTTCAATAGGGTGGAATGCCATATCACGAATTTGTCTTCTATGTGCAAAAATACATTCTTTAGAAGGTTCCAGTATTGCTCCATTCATTTTTTTGATCACGTGTGACTTGAATAATGTTGTGGTAGACTGCTGTGACACCACCTAATAATAATTTAATTTGATAATTTAAAAAAAAAAATGAATTAATTCTATTAACCAACACTTACCAGCATCATATTATTTTTATTAAATGCCATAACCCTACAGCCCAAGTTTTTGGATAGATTAATTTTTTTAATACATTGTCGATCTGCGGTTGGATCACTAATTGATGGTTTATTAAGTAGTTCTGAATTCACCACAGTTTTTAATCTTTTCACTTCATTATCTAAATATGTAGCTTTCACTTTCCACCTTTCTGCTTCCAACTGCATTAAATTTTTTGCTTGATTTTCCTAAGAAAAAATAAAACAAGGAAAATAGTTAGTATACAATTATCTAATAATCTAAATCAAATATGTTTAGAATTCAATTATTGTTGACAGTAATAAATATATTTTATTAATTCTTACTTTTTCCACTTTAAGTTCAAGAGCAGTTATTTGTGATGTATCAACTGCTACTAGATTTTTAGTATATAAAACTCTAATATCTTTCAAATTTGCTCTTGCATTACATGTTGGACATCTTCTTGCATCACTATTACATCCAACCTAATACAAGAACATATAGAACATATAAATATGTAAAAAAAAAATCTATTGCTTAAATATTAACTTTAATCCATCTTTGTAAACAATTTTCTCCAAAAATATGACCACATTTTAAACATGCAGGTCTATGCAAACCAGTATTAGTTAAAGTATCTAAACATATTGAACAGGAAAATGCTTCATCTGGATTGTCTATAAATGAAATAGAAAATAAATATGTATATTAGAATATATTAATTATTTAATAACATAATATTAATTATAACAATTTTTGAAGAAAACTTAAATAATTTACCGTTATCAGTTTTTTGTTCTGTACTTTCTGTATCTTCTAAAGCACGTTTTAAAGATGTTGCTGCAGATCTTGTTGGAGTTGTTGGTAAGAAAGCCATTGAGGATGTAACTGGAGATCCTACTGGAAATATTTCTGGAGATCCCATTCTAGATGATTCTGGAGATGTTTCTGGAGTTGTTGCTAGAGAATCCATTGGAGATTCAGTAGGAAATCCTACTGGAGATCCTGCTGGAGGATCTATAGGAAATCCTACTAGAGATTCTTCTGAATCAGAATCTCTTGAAGTTTCTGAAAATCTCCGAGTACGTCTTCTTACTGATCTTGCAATAAATTGAACAGGTGACATTGTAATTGAATGTCCTGTTGGATAAAAATCCTGAAGAAAAATTTTTTATTTATTATGATGATTAACTAATAACAATAAGTACTATAGTAATAATTAAATTGTATGATAAAAATTATTGATCCTCTCAATTAAATTTAAAATAAACTAACATCTTATAACAATAATATAATTTATTATTTCTTAACAAACTTAATAACATTTTATTAGTTAGAGTATAATAAGTACCTATAGAAAGTTATAAAAAACAATTACAAAACTATATTTAATATACTTTATTTATAATATTAAGTATAATATAAAACATAAAACTTACTGATGAATCTGAATTAGTTTCTTCATATTGAACAGCATCTACTGGATTTACTGGATCTACTGGTTCCACTGGATCTACTGGTTCCATTGGATCCATTGGATCCACTGGATCTACAGGATTTTCTAGATCAACTGGATCAATTATATGTACAGATCTAGGTTGAGTATCGTAGTTTGACGTACTGATTAGTAGTGTAGGTGGTAGTCCAGCAGCAATTCTCATACGCTCATCAAGCGCATAAGTCGGTATAAATAAACCTCTACCTGTACTTTGATGTAAATCTTCATAATGGTAAATAACAATGATTAAAATATAAACTATTTTTACTACTTAAAATATCTCTACCATTTCCAAAAGGAGATGAAAATAAAGGATCTATTTCCATGTCTTCATCACTAAATCCATATCTTGATCGACTACCCATATTTCTATTTCTGTAAATCAAATAAGTAATATACTTTTAAATATTTAAAAGTTTAAGTAGGTTGATAATATAAATTGAATTCAACCTTAGAACCTTAGTCTTTAAAAAATTATGAATGTATATTTTTGAGATTTTTAAGTTTCAGTAAAAACACAACTTATGAGGAGCATTATATTATATTTTCAAGCTTTATCAATTAATGATAATAATTTTTAAATACTAAAAAAATTTCCACGCGTTCATATTTTGGCAAATTTGGTTAAAATTTCAACTTCAAATTCTTATGAAGGAAATTGTACATAGATATTATGAATCTCTAACAAGATTCCTGGATATGCCAGTCAAATATGTAACAAAAAGCAATGCAAAACCTAAAACTAAGAATAATTCTGTTTTTAAGTAAAACCTTAAATATTGGACCAAGACCTACAATAATTCAACAAAATTAAATTGCATAAGTAAATGTCAAACCTATGGACCAATGCAAATACAGTAAAACTTCCATATTACAAAAACTTAATGAGTCAGGTTATATTTGATCGCCTCCACATAGAACACACATAATGTATGGTACATTAAAGGCTAAAGTAGATCATCACGCTCGACTTGCAAAACATTTATAATGATTAAGTAAGTACTTTATAAATTTTGTCACTCAATTCTGTTATTGAAATACACAACAACGAAAATTATTGAAAACACAGTACAAGGTAATTATCACACATCAAATACATTCAAAAAACTAATGATTAAAATTGAACTCAGTCAACTAATTTATTAAACATTAACCAAGTAAATCAATGTATATCTAAACATTAAATATAAATAGATAAACATAATATGATCTAAATAGTTATTGCCAGCTAATAACTTTGCAATTGATTCATATCTTTAACAAAAAATTATATTTTTATTTGCAATTTTTCTAACCATTTGTTGTAAACAACTTGACCATTTTCAATAAACATTATATCAATAAATTCCTTAAGATTCTGAAAGTTTATATAGCTTATTTTATCAGCCTCTATAGGTTACTATAAAATAATTCACTACGTGTTAGTATGTTAAATTTAAATGATAGATCACTGTAAATAAAAACGACTCTGTGCAGGGACGATCTACCAGCTTAAATCACAAAATACCTGTTTCATAAAATGTTCTTATGATATAGCTATTAAAGTAATTTATTTTACTAAATATTTTTGAAAATATTGTATTTATTATATTTTTAGAACTTAATTATTATAATAATTTATAATATATATTATTTATATTTTATCAACTTTTATAACTCAAAATATAATAACATCTTTCTGTAAGTACAGTGAAACTCTGAAAATAGGTTCGTTTTATTATAATACATTTTCAAACTTAAGCTATAAAAATTAAAGTTTTCATAAATTTTCTACTGCAAAATACTTATGGTTCGTAATTTTTACTATGTTTACAAATTTTTACTTCAAATGAATAAAAAAAATTGTGTTTTTAATTAATATAAAAAAGAGCAATTTATTAGGGATCTTGTATTACATTTTAAAGAATTTAGACCCAAATATTTTTTATCAACATCTATAGAAAAAATTTTCTCATGCCTAAAAATTGCTCGAAATATCTCAACATATTTTTAAAATAATACCATATAGAGAAAATGATAATGAAAACATTTGGTAAAAATTTCAAGCATCTACATTCATTTATAGATCACTTTACAAAACAAAAATTGCTTAAGGAGAAATAGTGATTATACTACAGGTGAATATCCAATGTCATGAAAACTTAAACTTTAAACGGTCATAAAAAATTGAATTGAATTTCTAGTAGAAACTTATTTTAATATAAATTTTGCAAATTATAAATAACCTTTTATTATATTTTCAAATCTAAAGTATTAACAAATTTTTTTTTAAATAATTCTAACTATAAAATAATTTTTAATTTTCAAGATTTTCAAAAAATGTTGATAACATTTTAATACTTGAGTATAAAAAAGTATTGTAACTATAAACTTTTGATATTTTTAATTAGAAAATTAAGAGTTTATAAATTTACCTTAACTTTTGAATTTTCAATCATTTTTACTCATCAATAATTTCTTTTACATGAATTTATAAAATTAAAATTAAAAAAATAGAAAATTTAAATTGCCTATGAATAGATTTTAAAGAGACAAACAAAATATTTTAAAAATTATATTATGAATAGAAAATTATCATATAACTATTTAATAAAAATTTCTAATTTCTATGATTATTTGTTTTTCAGTAACATACAAAAAAAAACTGATTTTGAATTTGGAAAATCTCATTTTTAAACTTACAATTAAGTTCTAAATAGATTAAAATTATAGCCAAAAACTACTCTTAGAATTGAAAAATGAATAATTTTCTCAACTATAAAAAATATCATCATCAACCAATTCTTTTAATAATTCTCTCAAATTAAGGTATTTTGTAATAATTTAACTTTTTATATTTAATTTGGAAACACATTTTTATCAGCTAGACACCCCAAAACTTAAGTCTGTGTATACCTATGGTTATCCCAAATAGTTGAAAAATTATCACTCTTTGTATACTATAATAAGGTGAAATTACATCAATATTGTTCTTATTATATTTTAAATTTAGATAAAATGTAAATTGAAAGATAAATTACCTCAAACCTAAAATGATTATATGGGTGAGTGCTGGACAATGAATTTAGTACTAAAAAAAGTTGTTAGTAATAATATTTAAGCTATTGAAAAAAAAAAGAAAATTAAAAGCTGTGGATGCATGGGCAAGGTCAAATAATGGTACTTTCAAGTCTGAAAATCATTCAGTACGCTCCTGAGTTACATTATCTTACTTTTATTAAATTTAAGATACTTTTCTAAAAACCATTTAGATAGCATTGAATATACCTACTATTTTAAAATAAGAATGCATCTTTCTGGGGAACATAAATATTTCAATATTTTTTTTTTAAATAGCTACAATTTAAACAGATACATATAAGAACTCAAATGAAATTAATTTTTATTGTAACCAAGTAAATACACCCATATATTTGTATACTATTTTACTTTACCATAAATTAAATGTTTTCGGAAAAAATTAACTTCAGTATAAAAATTTCAATAGTTTTTTAGATGATAAATTATCATTTTATTCCGAGCAGCACAGGTTATTAGTTGATGATTATTCATTAAGCTTGCATATTGTTAAGTTCTTTTTTAATATTTTTATTACTTATGTACAATATAACAATATACCTAAAGTAATTTATTATTTTATTTTGATTATCATACAAACTTAACAGTTCCAGACCAGATACAAAAAAAAAAAAAAATGATCATTTGAGTATTAGTATTGTATTGTAATATATTATACTTTCATAATTAAACTTATAATAAAATTTGAATAAACATATTTTGAATGTCAATCAAATTCATAATTAAAAATTTAAAAAATGTTGAAAACACATTCAAAATAAGAAAATTGTATGATCATTATTGATTATTGGGACTTTCAAATCCACTTCCTAAATGAGTTAAGTGACTAATGGAACTTAATTGTCCAAATCCTCACTCTTCAAACATAGCCTTAATTTTTTTTTTTTTTCTGTTGTGTTTACTAGATTAATAATAATGGTGCACAAAAATATTTTATCATATCATACACGTCTTGCTCTGTAAAGAATTAAACAAATAAAAAAAAAATTTCTGATTAACATTAATATATATTACGGCGTTGGGAAAGTGGCGTCCCTATCGCCTAGTGCCCTTCATTGGGTGCTGCAATAGCCCCACTCTGATCTTAAGTGATTAGAGTGGTCTGGCCCTTCAGGTTGGGGGTTGAGCGTCGGGTTAACAATCCGACCTTGTGAAAAACTTCTGTTCAGGATTTGAACAACAAGCCTCGGACTAGATTAGGAAAAAAGACTGGAAATTGGATATCGGAATTATAAGGTGGTACTTGGAATATACGAACACTATACAAACCTGGAGAAACTGTGGAATTAGTAGGAGAATAGAGAAATATAGAATGAAATGTGTAGCATTACAAGAGGTTAGATTAGAGGACGCGAGTACAACAAAGATATCACAAACGGAAAGGGTGAACGAGATCACAAAACTAGGGACTGGTTTTGCCATACATGAGTCGATCATACATATGATTAAAGAGTTCAAAGATGTAAATCCAAGAATCTCAACATTAACCCTGAAGGATAAAAATCTTCACATTGTGTTAATCAACGTACATGCGCCGATGGAGGAAAAATTTGAGGAAATAAAAGAAGAGTTCTATGATACATTAGAGGAGGTATTTGATACTACAGTGGGAAATATTAAAATTGTACTGGGCAATCTAAATGCTAAAATAAGAAAAGAAAGGATATACTATAACGTGGCAGAAAAGCATAACCTCCACGAGCACTCGAACGATAATAGCTCTAGACTAGCAAATTTTGCATCAGGAAAAGGTTTAATAATCAAGAGTACAATGCTCCCATGCAAAGATATATATAAATATACTTGGGTGTCTCCGGATGGGAGGCACAAGAACCAGATTGATCATGTACTGATTAACAACAGGTTCAAAAATAGTATAACTAATGTAAGGACATTAAGAGGAGCCGACGCAGACTCCGATCATTTTCTAGTAGGTATTTGGATAAGAGTTAAATTCAAGAAACGATACAGACAAATTAAATACTATAGATAAATATGATATTAAGAAATTAGAGGAAGTTAATATACAGAAAGATTATGGCAGAAAAATCTGCGAAACTCTCAAAGTACAACAAATAACAAATACAGACGATGTGAATAATGTATGGATCAAAATTAGAAACACTGTACAACAGACAGCAAAAACAACAATAGGAATAATGGAAAAGAGGAAAAAACCCTGGTTTAACCTATGCGAAGACGCAGTACAGAGGAGAAAGATAGCCAGGGTGGAATGGATGAAGGACACTAACAACAAAGAGAGGACTGCAGATTTCAGATGCTAAACAAGACTTTGGGCTAAATAGAACCCGGGATATGTACAAGAGAATAAAGGGCATAAAAGGAGATTTTAACAAGAAAGAACGTTTTTTCAAAGATGATGATGGAATGTTAATAACTACAGAAAAAGAAATAGCTGAAAAATGGAGAAAGTATTTTAAAGGACTATTAAACTGTGAGGAACCAACCGAAAAGTTCCCTTTTAATATTGAGAACATAAATACACAAGAATGTCTGTACCCTACATTAGAGGAAATAAAAGCACAAGTGCATAGATTAAAAAATCACAAATCCCCGGCAGAAGATTGTATTCAAGCGGAACTCTTAAAAAAAGGAGGAGAAAATGTTATATGGTGGATCTGGAAAGTGGCGGTAATATGCCCAATTCACAAAAAAGGAGACAAACAAGACTGCAATAACTACCGCAGAATATCCTTGCTTAATGTAGTGTATAAAATATTCTTGAATTGTGTTTTAGACAGGATAAAAAAAAAAAGCGGATCAAATAATAGGAAACTATCAAGGAGGGTTTAGAACTGACAAATCCACGACGGACCAGATATTCATAATTAGGCAATTGTATCAAAAATCTTGGGAGTTTGATAAAGAAATTCACATACTTTTCGTGGACTTTAAGAAAGCGTATGATAGTACCTATTCATAGAAAGTCTATTGAATATCATGAAAGATTTTCATTTTCCACAAAAACTGGTCAATCTAGTATCTATCAGCGTCATGGAGACCCTGATAAGGATTCAGGTAGGAAATTTAGTAACTGATCCGACAACAGTGAACTCGGGGCTAAGACAAGGAGACAAGGAGATTTGCTATCGCCGATTCTGTTCAACGTGGTGTTGGAAAAGGTTATTAAGGAAATGAAGATTGGCTCTAACGAGGGTATTAGACTACAAGACAAGTCGATAAGCCTACTTGCTTATGCTGACGATATTGTATTGATGGAAGAGTCTCAGGATAGATTGAAGATTTTATTCAGTAGACTGCATAAAGCAGCATCAAAAGTAGGACTATGTGTAAACGAAGAAAAAACAGAGTATATGTTTTTGAGTAGACTACCTTTTTATCAGTCCATAAAAATAGATCAATATGAATTTAAAAGGGTAGAACAGTTCAAATACCTAGGGTCTATTTTGTCTGAAAAAAATAATATAGCATTCGAGGTAGCAGCAAGAATCCAAGCTGGGAATAAATGCTATTATGGACTGACTAAGGTACTAAGCTCACGAGCAGTATCGCGAAGATTGAAAGAACAGTTATATACGTCCTTAATACTATCGGTGGTACTGTATGGATCGGAAACATGGCCACTCAGAAAAATGGATAAGCAAAGATTCATGGTCTTTGAAAGAAAAGTGTTACAGAAAATATATGGCCCGGTCAAAGATGAAATAACTGAGGAGTGGAGACGAAGAAAGAACTCAGAGCTGGAAACATCATACAGCAGTTCAGATATAGTGGAGGGCATCAGAAGCAGAAGACTACGGTGGGCTGGCCATGCTTGGAGGAGCCAAAATCCACTATTACATGCAGTGATTGAATAAAACCCTGTAGGTAAAAGACCTCTGGGAAGACCAAGAATGCGATGGGAAGATAGTATAAAGAAGGACGTTGAACATTTAGGTGGTACTTCTAATTGGAGAGATCTGGCATTGGATAGAGAAGGATGGAAGCTTGGTTGTGAGACGGGATGGTCTTAAACGCCCAATAAACCCAAAAAAAAAAATATATATATATATGAGAATTTATTTTTAAGATAAACAGACACTTTGTTTCCAAAAGTCTAGATCAACATTATAATCAATTAGAAACCATGTCTTAATACTGATTAGTTAATAATATTTAAAAACATTGTAATTCTGGTAGTAATTTTAAAATCACCCAATATAAAATACATAACAGATCCTTCTACCTAATACCCATACCAGTAAATATTTTAATTTTTAAAGGAAATATTATACTCATATTTTAATCAAAACATGAAATTTGAATTTGATTAAAAATCAAAATACACTTAAGAGGACAAAAAGAAGAAACCGCCAAAATAAAAAAATTATACCCTACCAGTGGTCAAGTGAAGGGGTGTGTTGAGAAGTCGTGTAATCAGGCACAAAATGGCGACTGATCGAAATTATTTTGATCATTTAATCATACCAAACAAAAAATTCTTTAGTTGTATTACTAAGTGCTAATTGCATGCCATAATGAGATACTTACATTGTACTTTTTTCCTGAGAAGTGGAGAGAACCACTACTGATTATCAGACCGAATCGATTTGACTAGACGCCATCATCATGAAAAACGTGTTTCGGAAAAACAAATAAAGCCTTCACTACCCGGGCCAGACGTTTTATATGAATGTGCTAAGTAGTTACTCAGCGGCTATTGACACTTTGACAGTAAACAGGTGGCAGTGAAAAGAGTAATAACTAATAAAGGAGATCTTAACTCAATCAGTAGCCACTTGTCAGTCGCTGTTAAAGTATTAAGTGTCGACTGTCGAGTGTCGACCCCTAGTCACTAGTCCTGACTCCTGACGGTCGATTTTCGAACCAGTCGAATTCCGATCGATGTTCAAATCAAAACAGTAAATACAATTATATAAGAACATTAAACTCTGTTTATAACGATAAACGATCAATGCGCAGAAGCTAGAAAAAATTGTCAGTATGCCGACGAAAATATCAAAAAAAATAATATTATTGTTGCATAGCGACCATGAATTAATACTCAAAACACTGTAGAGGTAGCACTGATTGAACAATGTTACCTACACAAGTTGATCATGAAATAATGGTCGACGCCGCCCTGTGTATCATGTATTGTGGTCGGGTCGGGTCTCGGGTCTACTAAAATGTTGATAAGGAGTAAGGATAAGAAGCACATGCATCTATCTAATCCTGTTTGTGACTAAATTCTGCGTTAAAACTTAAAACTTAAAGTTTTCTGGTAGTACTTTTATTATACTTAATCACCCTCAATTCTACTGTACCAAAATGATGTCTCAGAGTGGTGCTCCGATTTTAGTATTGAATGCTAATACAAAAAGGAAGTTTGGACATAAAGTTCAATTGGAGAACATTGCCGCTGGTAAATAATTTCATCGTTATTTTTTCTGTCCATACTTGTAAATGTTACTAACTCATATTTTATAAATATTACCGTTGAAATTTTTCTTTTTGTGTTAAAAAAAAATTATTTGTTATGAGTTTATAACTCATTGAAATATGCTTAGTTACAGTAAACTTAAGAAAAACATGTAGGTAAATTTATTTCTTTACAATTTATGAATATATGACAGATTATATATATGCCCTATTTATCGTGTTTATATTTGGTCAATATCAATTTTTGAAATAAAAATTGTTTATTGTACAAAAAATATGGTCAACGACATTTTTACCCAGTGTAATCTCATATGCATCAAAAGTTTTTGAATATTCAATTTTACCTGGTATTTATCTGAAAAATTTGGTTATATTTATAAGACAATGAGAAACAACTTCACGATATAATGGTCCTATTATATAACAGGTTAATGCATTAAAAGAATAGATTGCTGTTTATCAGTTACCTACATAAAAAAAAAATGTATGTTATGCTGTATTATCCATATTTAATAGAACATGTAATATATTAGAATTTATATTTTGTACTGTTTTTGGAACATTTAACATGAGTTTTACAATTTTCCATTATTGAAAATTGAAATTACTTATAGTGTTCTAATAAAAATTTATAGGTTAAGGTTATTGCAAGTATTTTAAATTATATCCATTTCAAAATATAAATATAATAAGTAAATAAAAAAAATATTTTTCAAAAATTGTGATTTGATTTTAATAGCATACAATAAGCACTAATAAATATATATATATTATTGTCAAATGACTATAAATTATGGTGTACAAAAATAAATATATTATATATACTTAAGTTACATTAACTTTTAATTTCGACCATAATATCTTACATAAATATTATTGTTCTAGTAAATTTACAAATTTTAAAATATTTTTCTGAAAATATGAGTTAGACTTAATTCACAAGAATGCTTAAAATTACTAGGTATTCTTGTATCTTAAAAACATAATGTAATTTAATAGTGCATACTTCTAGTTATTTTATAGTTAGTTCTATATCAGTCAATTTAAATTCCTAGTTATTTCATTATATTACCAAAGAAAACAATTTTTATTTCAGGCAAAGCAATTGCTGATGTGGTACGTACATGTATTGGACCCAGAGCTATGCTTAAAATGTTGATGGACCCAATGGGTGGAATCGTTATGACTAATGATGGAAATGCTATATTACGAGAAATCACAGTTCAACATCCAGCTGCTAAGTCATTTATTGAAATTGCACGCACTCAGGATGAAGAAGTTGGGGATGGTACGACATCAGTTGTAGTACTTGCAGGTGAAATTCTTGGTGTTGCAGAACAATTCTTAGAACAAAAACTTCATCCAACTGTTATAATCAGAGCCTATCGTCAAGCTTTGGAAGACATGTTGGACTTTTTAGATAAGGAATATAGTATGCCATTATCTTTAGATGATGAACCTAAATTAATTGAAGTGATAAAATCTTGTGTTGGAACCAAGTTTATTGGTCGCTGGTCAGATTTGGCATGTAGTATTGCTTTGAATGCTGTTAAGACAGTTAGTATAAGAGATGAAGGTCGTACTGAAATTGATATAAAGAGGTATGCTAAAGTTGAAAAAGTACCAGGAGGAGCAATTGAAGATTCCCAGGTATTGAATGGTATTATGTTGAACAAAGATGTAACACATCCAAAAATGAGAAGATTTATAAAAAATCCCAGAATTGTTCTGTTAGATTGTTCTTTGGAATTCAAAAAAGGAGAAAGTCAAACTGAAGTTGAAATTGTCAAAGAAACTGACTTTACACGATTATTACAGATTGAAGAAGAATACATACAACAAATATGTTCCGATATTATAGCACTAAAACCAGATTTGGTTTGTACAGAAAAGGGAGTTTCTGATTTAGCACAACATTTCTTGTTAAAGGCAAATATATCAGTATTAAGACGTTTGAGAAAATCTGATAATAATCGTGTTGCAAGAGCTTGTAATGCTACTATTGTTACACGTACTGATGAATTACGGGAGAGTCATGTTGGAACTGGTGCTGGTCAATTTGAAATTAAAAAGATTGGTGATGAATATTTTACTTTCATTACCGAATGTGTTAATCCAAAAGCTTGCACTATTCTACTTAGAGGACCAAGCAAAGACATATTGAATGAAGTTGAACGTAATTTACAAGACGCTTTACATGTTGCTAAAAATATTATGCTTAACCCAAAATTAGTATCGGGTGGTGGCTCTATTGAAATGGCTATATCACAGGCATTAGTTAAAAAAAGTGCTGAAATAGCAGGTGTAACTCAATGGCCATACAAAGCTGTTGCCCAAGCATTAGAAGTTATTCCACGTACACTTCTGCAAAACTGTGGCGTCAGCACTATAAGAACAATGACGTCTTTAAGAGCCAAACATGCAGTAAGTGGTAACGAGAGTTGGGGAATAAATGGCGAAACAGGTGAAATGGCTGATATGAGAGACCTAAAGGTTTGGGAACCAATTGTTGTTAAGTCTCAAGTATACAAAACTGCGATTGAAACTGCTATATTGTTGGTGCGTATTGATGATATTGTGTCAGGTACAAAAAAGAAGAGTGATGATGGACAACCAAAACCATCTGCTCAACCTACTGAAGAGTCCATGAAAGAATAATTTTTAATTTACTTATAGCTTTTTTTATAATTATTATTACTCACAAATTCCTAAAATATAATCTAAATAAACACTATTAATATTATTAATATTTGATGTCAAGTTTTTTGACAATTTTAACAAATTCTGCTATTAAACTTTTTTTTTTATTTAATAAAAATAATTTTTACTATTTTGTGTTTTTTTTTTAAACTATTATTTTCCTAGCATTAATTATCAATATGTTAAAAGCTACTGATTAGTATATTATGTAATAAGGATAAAAAAAAAACAAAATTATTTATACTAAATATATAATATCTATGTGTTATACACAATGATGTTAAAATTAAAATAGTTTAACAAATTGCATTTCCTCAGAGTTTATAAAAAAAAAAAATGGTTGTTAAATTAAGTATATCCAGGACTTATTCAAATCTCTTGATTAATATAAAGTGCAGATGACAACAAACTATATTATTATAAGATTAATCAACACCTGCTCGAAATGAAAATCACTAACTAGTAGTTGGTATTTCTTTACTTAATATTTTAAATTGAACTTCATAAATTTATGTAAATTCTTTAAAACTCAAGAAGGGAATTACAATAAACAAAATTATTATGCTATGCGTGAACAGAAACAAAATTAAGTATAATGTAATAATAAGTCCTTCATGTAACACAAAAAAGCCAAAATCAAATTAAAAATTATTCTCTATGAATATTAACTTATCCTACTATCAACTATCATATATAACCTACACTGCATACTGTATATTATACTTAGCTATATATTTATGAAAAATAATCCTCGTTCCCCACTTCTCCATACCAAAATCATTTTACCACAACTGAATGAACAAAAATAAAAATAGTAATAGGTGAATTTCAAGCCTCCCAAATTCAAAGACCTATAAACTATTTATACGGTTAAATAAATTACTTATGAAATTGCAATAAAACATAGGTGTATAATTCAATGGACTTAATTTTAAACTTTATTGTTTTGCAATTTGTCCTCCCTACTTCAGTAAGATTTAGAATATTGCTGTTATACTGATGGATAGGTAAGTAATGATTTAATAATTCTGAGATTGGTGATTAAATAATTTAAGTTTATTGTTCATAACGACCATAACATGTATTTATAATTTACTATATTACGTATAAATTATGGAATACCTATAGACAATTAGACGTATGTTTACTGTATAGTAATTTAAATTACGTTGTACTAATTTACTACCTATATACAATTCATATATAGCTGATATGTATTTAAGTATAATGAAATACTTGAACATTTTTTATAAATATAAACAACTGTAGATTAACACATTTTTTATGTTTTTCTAAAAAAACATTTCATAAAATTGTATACAGAAAATCCACGGAAGATCTGAACCCGGACATATTACCCTCTGATCTGTACCTAAGTAAACAACGTAATCTATATATTATACTTAGTAATAGTAGGTATGTTTAATATTATAGCCATCAAAAGATAATTTTTTACAATGCACTAAGATAAAACTTAATTAAATTTTTACTCGTGATTACTAAAATGATTTCTCTACTCAAAATCTTAACTATTACTTCTTAATCCATGCCAAATTAAATCTTTACAAGTTCATTTTCTTCCAAACATACCTAGACATACGGCATACAAATTCGAGGCTATATTAAGAAATTAAAATAAACCAAAACACAATGTTCTGACTGATTGCAAGACCATCACAAACCAAACCACCATACATGCAAATTTATAAATTAAAATAAGATATCTTAGTTCGTGGTGATCAACTATCCACATTGTCACAAAAACTGTAGATACCTATCTGAACATTCTAAACCAATTTCATGCAATTCCTACAAGAGATGAAAAGAAACTTGTGTCTTTCTTATTCACTAATCCT